TTGGTCATTGAGAATTTCTGGGGTTCCTATGAGAAGATTACTTGTAGGTGGTACTTGGATGCTTTGGTTGGATTAGTGGTGGTACTTGGTCCAAAAAGTTTGAGAACCACTGGTCTAACACATAACATATACCTATTATAGTACATACAGTGAATGGTAGTGGCAGCTAAATATAAAAAACAAATTAAACATGAAACATAAACATTTCATGCATCAAAGTCTTTAACATTAGTCTTCAGTAACATATGGTTGTTATTTTGGACAAAGTTTTGACATGCTTGTTCTAACTATGTAAAGTTTATATACTTCATAAAAAGCTATAATGTTTATACTTTTCTAAGAATATATAAAAAGAACACTGTATTTGCTGTTGTTATAGTTGTACAAAAGTTGTAGTGCCGGTTTGATATCACTTAAAAGGTAGTATTAATATGGAATCATACAGATCCAGCCATTCAGAATGCACTATTCTAACAATATTCTGTTGTGGGACTTCACTACTTTGTACAACTTCCAGGTGCTGCAGTGAATCGTTAATGTGGCATGGTGAATCATTTGCGTTATCGCCAGAAAACTCCTGGTTTTGAATCCCAGTCAATGCTGAGCTCCTTGAGACCATTGTTGTACTAAACTGCCACCTGGGCGCAATGCACTACATTAGAGTCTATGAATGTTTCATTGTCCATTACAGCTATAAGGACAGCAACATTTAAAATGAATCTCAAAATGTTTCCGCAACATCCACAATTGATAGTTTTAGCTCCCAAAATTTCTTTAGCTACATGATTCCATATTAATATTACCTATTAGTAAATTTAGGAAGTAATTTTTAGTAAAACAATAGTAAAATAGGAAGTCAAAAGATGGCCTTAGCTATCAGGACTTTATGTCAAAGGGTTCCTTTCAAAACTTCAGTGGAAACGGTGGCCTTGAAGTTGGGTATTTTTAAAACTCAGGACTAAACAGGCAATCAGATTAAGTCATCAGTTACAGTATCACAAAAAACAGACACAGTGGTCTCCCACTGACCAGATTTGGGAACCACAGCCTTAGGTGGCCAGACAGATGGATATACAAAAATTTTGAACATCACTCTAAAAAACAAACTGGTCCAAGAAAACCAAAGTCTTTATGTTTTTTTGTCTAGATTTCAAGATTCTTAAATTCAAAAGACATATTTATCAGGCAAGGCACATAATGTCACAGATGTCGGAAAGGACGAACCGTGGAATGGCGGGAGAGCGTAAAAGACCCTATGCGTAGCGGCAAAACTGGGGGGTTAGCCCAGGCTCAGCTGTTCAGGAAATTACCTATACAGTAGAAACCAATGCCCTCAGGTAGTGGACGTGGGGCAACCTGGAGCTAGGCGGGTCTCAGGACATCGGAACGTCAATACTGAGTCAAGGCAAATATAAGACCAAGAAATATATAACCCCAGAGAGAGAGAAACACTGGAAGGACAGCAAAGCACCGGAAACAACAGACAGGACAGAGAAGGAGCGCCCTCTGGCTGTAGAAGGCGTGACACATAACTTTAGTGAAATAATTGATAATTGTCATAATGTTTTAATCTATAATGAGAAACTACTTTAGCTTTTAAGTAAGTGAAAAAGCTATTAATTGCCTGATGTGGAAATATTTTAGTTCTTGTCTGCAGTGGGAATGGAGACTTTATAAACAGACAGTTTGAGGGAATCCTAGTGGAGCTGTAACATTTGTTGACTTAATCTGTGTTAATTTCATTTTTATTGTTATGCAGCATTTCCCAGATGCAAATCCCTATCTTGCTTGCAAATTGTTGAAACAAAAATCTCAATAAAACATTTTATTCTCATTTGAACCATTACAAAGCATTATTGATCTACTGTATCTATAATTTCTACAGCTAATATTTAATTATTGAATCTTTTTAAAAAGAGAAACTCTCTGAGGCCAGAGAAAACTTTTCTGAACAAAACTTTTTATTTTTAACATGAGCACATTTTGCAGTTTAAATGGTGGTAGAAATGTCATAAATTCTTCTAATTAAATTTAGAAATTTACATGAAGTAATTTGTTGTTGTTTTATAATAATAATTCCTTACATTTACAGTATATAGCACTTTCAAAGAGCTTCACAGGCAATGGGCATTCTCCTCCACCACCACCAATGTATACTCCCCACCTGGATGATTCAACAGCAGTATGCACCAATATAAAGTGATGAAGCCAATAAATAAGTGAGGATTATTAGGAGGGCATGACTGGTGAAGGCTGGGGGAAATTTGGCCATGACATTAGGGTAACACCCCTATTCGTTTTGAGAAACACCCTGGATTTTTAATGACCACGGAGAGTCAGGACCTCTGTTTTACATCTTAATGGTGGCGCCTTTTTTAAAGTATACTGTATCCATCACAATACTGGGGCTTAAGGACCAACACAGACCACAGGGCGAGCACTCCATACAGTATTTGTCCCACTTTTCCAACAGCAACCTTAGCTTTCCCAGGAGGTCTCCCTTCCAGGTACTCAAACCTGCTTAGCTTTAGTGGACTGATAATATTTGAACAATTTACAAAAGCTCTTTTAATCCATATCTTGATTAAAGATATATGATATCATACAATATCATAATTTTGAACAAAATAAAACACAGCATCTTAATCATATGTCATACAGTATATCCTATATCCTATATCCTATGTCCTACTGTATGTCCTATATCATATATCACTAAGATGCTGTGTTTTTTTTTTGGTCAAGAGTAGAATATGATTATGACTAAGCCGGTATTAACTGGACATACACACCCTTGAATGATACATATGACCTCAGAGGTCTGGATACAGAAAGCGGTTTCTCTCTTCAAAACAAGTCGAATCCATGCCTCCATACCAACTGAGTGATTGATGCTTCTGATTGGCTTGATTGCTTACATTTGAAATGATGACAGTAATTATCTTTTCACTGTTCAACATTTTTCCCCATTAAAAAAAACCTACTTAATTTTGACTAAAAAGTGTTCATGGAACTTATTCATTAACACACTCAAGCACGTTTTCCAGTTTATGTTGCCAAATAATTTTGAAGGATAGTAGGAGTCAGTTTGACCTTTGTAGTATTTTTCTGCTTTGTAGTAATTTTCTGCTGTAGCAAACTGCTATGAGGGTGCATTTTGAAGGGTGTTCAATTGCATAATAGAATGATAACCGCAAATTAAGTAGAAGAAGGAGAAAAGGCTTTCTGTTTTTCTGGAAATTACTGTTGTAAAGTTTCAATAATTTAGAACTTAAATAATGTAATCCCAATTAATCGTTTTGTCAGTCATTTCTTCTTTTGTAAGGGGCATAAATAACAATTATTATGTAAGTCAAGGTGTTCCTCCAGAGTTTTACAGTACTGTGTTAGTCATGAATGCTGCCAGGGAAACTCTGTACTGTAGCTCTTGTTAATTACCTGTACACTCCATGGTTTGATCATGTCTCCACAGTCTCAGTTGTTTGACTCTTTCATTTTCCAGTAACAGAGCTGATGACCATATCTTGCGTATGTCATCTGGATTGTTTCTGTGGCAGGCTGGAGCATTTGATTTCATCTCTGGATTCTGTAAGAGGTGTTTATATGAAGGTCCATGCAGTTCCACATGATTCTCCAGTTTTCAGTGGTGTTGAATCCTGATATGTTTGCCTTTGTTGGATAGGATCCAGAGAGCTTTCGGGGAATTTCGGGGAATTTTGGAATGTGGACGGGATCTTCTTTGTACAGTACATCTGTTGTAGAAACTGATGGAGCCCACAGAGTTTGATCAAGGCAGTAGTTCATCCACATGAAGCTGTGGAAGAGTTGTGGACTTTGGTATTCTGGTGATTATCTGCATAATGTCATCTATAATAGTAGTAGTTGAGCTGTTTAGTATCTACATTATGTTGTGTGCCCATAGAGCAGAGAACTATTCTGCCATGAAGTAAACAAGAACAAAGAGGCAGTGTGAAGAGTCTTTATCTGCGCCCTACATGAGTCTGGTTAGATATGTGAAAAAAAAAGAGTTTTAGGAGAGTACTTGTTGGTGTTGCTCCTGGTATTTAAGGCTTTTGTTGAGTGTGCTGCCAATGAAGACTTTTGCTGCAGAAAAATAAAGTTTATTCATCATTAGCTTGCTGGTTGCCCAGATGGAATCTGCTCATGAATCAATCAGTAACTACCTCTTAGGTCTGCTAATAGATTACAGGCTTTCCTCTATTGTATTACTGTATAACATACAGTAATTGCAACCAAAGTCTTTACTGTTTTTTTAGCATTTTCATTAGTTCTTTGGGAAAAGATGATGGCTTCACCAGACCAATATTGTTTTTTGTGAATCAGAAAAATGAATATTGAATCGTTGCTCAGAGGGTAAACATCTATTTCATTGTGCTTTGTTTGTATCAGTATTGTCTAGTGGGAGATTGTTCTTTAAAAGTAGTAATTACACACAGCCCGTAAAAAAGGAGCAGCTAAATCAATAATTGGAATTAGAAGTTTCAGAGTAATATGTTTCATCATATTACTTATGTGGCTGTTACTAACTCTTCCATCTTCAGTGGGGGGTTGGCAGGAAGCAGCTAAATTTAGTAGCACTGTCACAGTTAAAAAGTACTTAGTGCTGCTTGTCAGAGAGCTCCATATAAAATCTCAAATCAACATGCTACCTCACTGAAATAACTAAACATTTGTCAGAAATAACTGAACACCCGAGGCTATGTATGCCATAAGTCTATAAAAAGCATAACTCTTTGTCTTGCTGCACTAAGGCAGGGTCGTCACCTTTTAGCTGTTTTTGGCTTCTTGGCCTATTTTACAATTAGCTGACACACACACCTCTCTTTCCCCTTCCTATTTTTCTCCTTATAGCTTTCGCTCTAAAAAGTCTCTTGTACTGTTGTTATGTTCTATAAGTGACTTTGTGTTTGATGTGGTATTTGCTTGTTAGTGACCAGGAAAAATGGAGAGTGACTTCCTTATTCAAGTCAAAACAAAGATTTACTTTAATACTTTCAGGCTTTTCAATGTCTCTCTGTTAAGAAACAAGTTTGTCTGCATTGACTTTGATAAAAACTGTCATTTGTCAACCAAATTGACTTCTGTTATGCCTAACATGTGCTACTCTTCACTTCATTCTGAATATAGTTTCTGAGGAAAAAGTGAGAACTAATGAGCACATTTGACTCGGACCTCTGACTTACTAAACGTCTTTGCTTCCCTAAGCAGCAAGTCCTCATTAGAAATACACTACTTTGTATTTGTTAAAGTGGAAGATGTCTCTCATGTCTGATTCTAGCCCTGTGGGTCATTTGGATGTGATACAGTGTGGTGATTCTAGATAAATTCACTATATTTTGAATTATTTTAATTGCATGTCTGGTTCATAAATATAAGGGCTTGAGTGAGAAGATAATTACATTTTTTAATTAACTACATACCCCTTCTGTGCAGTACTGCTGAAAAAAATACAGTATATGCCCATATGCAAAATATGATTAACAGTTTTTAAATAAAATTGCTTAATATATTTGAATTTTCGCTAAAGATCAGCAAAATACATAACACATCTGGACTAAAGAGGTTTTGAGGGGAAAAGTCATCTCATTAATTTATAAATCTATTCCAGATGTTCTCAGAATACTTTCAGTGAAAGTGTCTACTTTCAGTTGCTGCCAGAAGTACAGCTATATGCTGAAGAAGTATGTAATCCACAATTGCCTATTTTGATAGTCTGCAGAGTCAATAAAATAAGAAGTTTCACTTAATCTTTCAGATTGCATTCTAGCTGTTGTAACTTAGAGTATAAACTGTGCCTTTAGCTCACCCTCAGGGAAGCCCACATTTATCTCCCTCAACCTATTCACAACCAAGCACTTTGGTCTTTCTATTATATTATATTATAATATCAGAATCTTTTTTTTTAGAATGGCCATAGTTGACATTTTCAGACTGAAGGTGTTGGTGCACTGCCTTACAGGTTAAAGGATATATTCCAGACCAAAGTACTGTAGCTCATCGAGCCAGAGTTCATGCTGGTTTTAGTTCTTTTGCTGGTACCCACTTTTACAGGTGGGTGAACTGAAATGATTGGGGTAAAATATCTAATTTAATGCACAATAACAGTGTCTGCAGCAAGAACACAAACCACAACCTGTCAGGTGTGATAGCAATAATTACCCCACTATGATGCCCCCTTACTTGGGCACATACAATGATAATGATCTACTTCCCACTGGCAGAAGTGGCAAGAGATTATGGGAATATCACACACAGGCTCTGCTGCTGATTTGCTTATTACCTGTTTCAAAAATAAAATATACTAGGCTCTTAAGAGATTTTTAAACCAGGGTTGCTACTCCTGAAAATGATTACATTTTTTCATTAATTGCCACAGGGTTGTAATGAATATATATATATAAAATGATTTTGTGTTTTGCAGGCCAGAGTATGGAGGGAAGTACTGCACTGGAGAACGCAAGAGATACCGCATATGCAACACTAAAGCCTGTCCCAAAGACAGGCCCACCTTCCGTGAAATGCAGTGTAGTGAATTTGATACTGTTCCCTACAAAAATGAGCTGTATGAGTGGATTCCAGTGGCTAATCTTGGTACGTATTGTGCCCTCCTTGGGAGAGGAAACCCTGAAGCCTTTTTTCCCATTATACCTCATTATCATCTGTCCCAATGCATAACATGTGTTGCATGTCAGGTTGTATTTTCTTTTAAGTGTGTTGATACTGTATATGGATTTTTAAATAATCTTGCTGTCTAATTCACATTTTCATGTTGTTGCCATCCTGCCTGCAGTGTCAAAATCATGCACGTCTGTTTTTTGTTTTAGTTTTCTGTAAAGAAACAAACAGTGGTTATGCAGTTACGAGTCATACTAGAGGAACAGAAGAGAGTATGATACGTCTGCCCATTTTTTCCTTTCCAAGTGTTATCTCACAGTACACTTAAATGCCCAGTCAAAGTGTTTTATTAGTACAGGACTCTAAGGTTAAGACAGGCCTAAAGAATCTTTCTGTGGGTCCCAGGTTGTTGTCTTGCACATTTTTCTTTGTTTCCTTTGTTTTTTTGATGGTTCACTGTTCTATGCACAATGGACACAGCTCTCTGAGTTACTACCCTTGACAAAACTGAATGTGCTTACAAGACTGATTAACAAAGATAACATTGAGTTTCACAGAGCATTAACCTTTTTGGCATCTCTCAGTCCAGCCTTGAAAATGAATAGCTGCTTTTCAATGATGCAAATGGTGCATCTGAGTCTGTAACCATTATTAACTAGGTTCTTACTCAGGCCCAGTAGGTCACTGGGACAGAGCTTATCTTGGTTTCTGTAGCTTTAACCCTACATGACTGCCCCCTGAATGGTACTGTAGTGTAGTATACTGTATATTAGTTTACTATATAGTCAACTTGGAGAAAAGAAAACTCTTTTCTCCGTTAATAACTTTTACAGATCATAAAGTCAAAAACTACTGGAGTTTAACATAAATATTGCTCACTGTTTCAACATAAATGTTTAACAGGGCTTTAATAACGGGAATTTAAATTTCTTCTCCGCTCATTTTGTTACAGTAAACCCTTGTGAGCTTAACTGTCGCCCTGTTGATGAACAGTTCTCAGAGAAAATGCTGGATGCGGTAACTGATGGGACCCCCTGCTTTATGAACAACAGCAGCAGGAACATCTGTATCAATGGTGTATGCAAGGTAGTGTTGGGTATGTTTCTTTCTCAAATACTGTATTCATGAGAAACGTTTATTACCACATATCTAGGTATTAATTTTTCTCACTAAGATCTACTGTGCTGATTTCCTTGTCTTTATAACTCGGTATGACAGCTTTTATGGAAAGGCATTGACTCACATGCTTTTATGTGGTAAATGGAAAAGATTAAATACAAAATGTATTTTGCACAGCGAATACTTTAATAAAATCTTGTCTGCATTGTTCAACCAGAAGGATTGAACATTTTTTGTTCTACTTTTATTCATATCAAAACTTAGTAATATATTGTTTTATACACCACAAAACACTATTCCTGAACGCCTTTCTCAGACATTCTGTAGGCTTCAGCTTGAAAAAAATCTTGGATTTATTTAGAAAAGCAGACTTACAAAAGAAGTGTGACTTGAGCTCTCATTTTGTAAAGGAAAATGGCCTTTTCACACATTCCAGCTGGAAAGCAATTTCAGATTCTTCTTCTGCAGTTATTGAGCTCTTCAGATTATGTCTTCTAAAAATGCTTTTAGGATTCATATGTGTTACAGTAATTCTTCCCTGTTTGAATTTAAATCTCAACAATAAGTCAACATGTACTGTATGTTAAGTGAATAATATTCAAATGCTTGATTTTTTAGGCTGACCCTTTGAATACTGCAGTTTAAATTAAAAGTATATTAAAGTATATTACAGTTTAATGTATGAAAGTGATTTTGAAGTGACTATTTTTTATGCCCTCCTGTCAGATTCCCCTGTTATCTGGTTTGGTTTCATTTCTAAAAGGGTCAGAATATATTTGGTTTTAAGCATCTTGAGGAATGTTGGTGAGTTTTTGATAACCTTGAGGCATGTAATCACTTAAATATCAATAATTAAAAATAAATTTAAAATCCCATTTTTTGTAACATCGTGAAAACTGCATGGTTACAAAAAAATCACAGTGGTTTTCCTTTTCACAAACGCAAGTAGACTCACATCATGCCAGTAAGCAGTGAACAATACCACAATGTCACAATAGGAACTTGGAATCAGAAGAACTTGGAAGCAGAGAAAGAATTAGCCCATTTGCACCTGTCTGCACAGACAGTTTATCATAAATCATTGCCTACTCTCCAGCAATATTTCACCCTGGAATCCTGATGCCATTCTTTTGGTACCATCACCTTGGCAGTTACCCCACAGTTGTATTTGCATGGTCCTAGCCCCCTCATGTGGCAACCAGGTTCTTACCCCTCTTACCCCTCTGCTTTGTCTAGAAACAGACGTTCTTCACATTTGTCATAGGGTATCTGAGGTCTCAGAACAGTCTCAATGGCTACCACTGCTTTGCAATTATGCATTGTTTTTTTACGCTTCCTACAGTGATTGTATGCTTGTAGAACATTATTGAGGTTTCGGGACTCATTGTTCAATAAATTCAATATATTTTTTTACATCTGAAAAATGTGTTAGCCCTCCATTTCTATCGCTGTCTATAATAATGATCTAAATTTGTTTTTTCTGAGCTTTAATTAATTGGACTCCTAGGGAGCTTTTTGTGAGGTATTTTATTGATTTGTACTCCAAGATATTAAATTGAATGTGCCAGCAGTCAGGAGGAGTTCAGAGAGATATCTTAAAATTTTAAATTAAAATATGGCACACACACAAATAATCTATTCCTCCTGCTATATGTACTGTAGATGTACTTTACTCTGAGAGCTTGAACTCAGGGTTTTGATTAAAATGACTTTTAAACACTTATAACTTAACCCCTTATTGCATGTTTTTAATTTCATAGCAAAATCCTGTTGCCAAAAGAGAATTATTGTCATGAACTGCATTCCTACGAGCGTCTCTCACCGCTAACACCTGTGCACTAATTAATCAATTGTCATTCCTCAAGCTCTTCCCTATTTATACCCTCTCACTCCACTCAGTCCCCGCTCACTATTGAGAATAACCCTTGGTGCGTAAACTACTCTCGACCTGATTTCTGGCTACCCGACCTTGTTTCCTCCTGCTTCGACTTTGTCTGATCTCTCGTTTTCGATTTGGATACTCTCGACATGACTCTTGTGATACCTGACCTAGCTCTTCTACCTCGACTACGACATTTGCCTTTGGGATCTGGGCGCCAATCACTAGCTACTACCTACAGTCTCAGTGCAGCATAGGGTCCAACCAGGTGCTCCTAACGCCATCCTTGACAATTATAGCATGAAAGGTACAGTGAGAGAACTGGTAATCATGTTCTCTTTTTTATGTAATTATATGTACTGCGGTATATGCTTACCCGACATCTTATAGTTTTACTGGGCTAGATAGTTCAGAACTGTGAGCCATCTAAGAATCACGCATTCCAAGCTCCGTAAAATTGAGTTTCCACAGGCAGGTGGACTGATATTGTAAGAACATAAAAAAGGTTACAAATGAGAGGAGGCCATTTGGTTGCCCGTTTGATAATTAATAGCTATTTGAGCCTGAAGGAGCTTTTTCCTTGAAAGGAGCCAGGTTATCGGCTAAAACCTAAGTTTTTATTCGATCCTGTCTATAATCTTGAAACCCTAGGCTACAGCTCTTGTTTGTATTAATACTGCACTTATCAGTTACAGAAGCGCAGTGCTGGTTGGATTAAAGTACTACGATTCAACGACTTAAAGAGGCAACAATCAGATAATCTCTACCACACACTGAACATAAAAACGTTACAGACAAGAGGAGGTCATTTGATAACATGTGATGTGAAGGAGCCCAAACACCTGGTTTCTTTTTTCCTCTGGTTTGGGAAAGAGTGGTCTCTGTATGTCTCACATTGAGATTTGGAATCGTACCTGGAAAATAGAAAATAGACTATTTTCTTTGCACTTTCAGTTTTCTCTGCTTGCTTTAGTTACAACAGCCACACTCATGAGAAACTTGCATGTAAAATTGCCAGCTGATTGCAATGAGTTTTAACTTTCCATGTACTGTAGATGGTATCAAATCACAGCTTGTCTAAAATATTTAGTGGCAACATGCTGTGTTAACATTTGTTTTCAGTGGCTTTATAACATAAGGAATGTACATTTGTCAAGTGCAGAATTTTAGTTCAACTTTGTTTTCAGTGACAAAAACATCAGGTTTTGCATTTGATGTACAATTCTAAATATCTTCCTATCTGTGTCGTGCTAACATAAAGAAAAAACAAACTGCTTGTCTTTTCTCAGTGATTCCTAGGAAACTTGTGATACACTGTATTTTTGTTTTAATTTTGCTTTCCAGTCCAGTCACATTCATTTATGCATCATGCTAGGTTTTTGTAATTATATAATAACTCCAATAAATAAAGAAGCTATTTTAAATTTTAAGCTTTTCTTATTGCTCTTTCTTGAACAATCCATACTGATTAATTGCAAGTGTCATTACTAAAGTACAAAAAGCTAGTTTTTTTTCCCAAGGAGATGAGTTGCATTTTCCTAGATCAACCTTCTACTACCTATTTAAATTTTCAGTTTCATCACCTGTTCTTGTGTAGAACATTTTTTTTGAGCAGTGCATGTCCCTGAGTTGCACAATGGCTAATCTTTGGGCTGTATGCCCATAGAACAGCTTTACTAGCCTGCTTCATTTATAAAACTAGAATTTAAAAATAAACGTTAATTTTTCAGTACGTTTTCTACAAGTCCTGTAAGTTATTTTCATTTTTGAAATCAAGAGTTCATTCTTCCACATTAGCAAGCATATTTTTGCAGTGGAAAAAACGAATGTCAACCAAATATTGCAGCTTCTGCGCTATAATAAATGTCTTCATGACCTGCTTTTCAGATGTTTCTCACATGAGTTTGCTACATGCTAGCCTTACGTATAGCAATGAATAGACGTGAAGCAAATGAATGACTAATAAACAAACAAGTCTTGATGATCAAAACCTTTGGTCCTCCACCCATTTTATTTGCAATCAACAATTTAATTTTTGTTGGAAAAGGAAAAGAAACATGAAAGCAATAGACAACATAATTTTATATAAGGAGCTCAGGTACATAGTGAATTAATAAAGTAAATCTAAAATTAGTGTTATTTAACTCCATCAGATGCTTAACCAGGAAAGCCGAGCTCAGGTCCCTGCTTCTAATATACTCAAGTCTGCAGTCTGGGAGTTGGATCACTCAAAATTGAGTACAGTATATCCCTAAATGCAAATAGACTGTAATGTAATGTGACCATAATAGACTCCATGCAAAGTTTAAGCATAATTTTCTTTGCAGCTTTTAAAGTCGCCAGTCAAGTTTTCCATTGCATTGCAATTAAACCTTTCAGTGAATCTTCATTAAGAAAAGTGGAAATAAACATGAATATGGTCTCAACTCACACTCTAGTATAAACAGATAATATACTAGCCAAGTGTTTCCAAAATGTTGCAGTGACAGAACAGTTCCAAAGCATATGAAGAAAAGTACCAGACACATCTACAGTATATTGCAGATATTAAAAGACAAGTATTTGCTGATTCTTGAGCAGAACTGTATATAAGGGGTTGCATTAACATTTCGAATAATTTTATAGTGTATTAGTTGATCAGCCAGGTTTTTTGAGGCCTTGAAGGTGTTCAGCTACTGTATGCAATTTCACAATTACGGGAAAATCACTCCCCCCATTTTTTAAACTCACTCCTGGAGTGAGCAGTTGTTGGTCTGTGATTCAGAGTTGGGTGATGTGCTCCCTCAGGCTGTGGGATGCGACTACGCCATTGATTCCAACGCAGTAGAAGATCGCTGTGGTATCTGTTTGGGAGACGGATCTTCTTGCCACACAGTTAGGAAGACTTTTGTTGCGAAGGAAGGCTCAGGTAAGGCTGTATTGTACTCATTTTTTTGTGCTGCTGCTTTTTTAACCAAAATTGTTTACTAATGAGAGACCATTCTAGCCTGTTTGGTAGTTAGTAGTTAATTAATCTGAAGATCTTAGTCATGTGTTTCTTGAAAAAGCCAGCACATCAGCTTCAACTACATGTCTGGATAGCTTGTTCTATACTTTTTACCACCCTAAAGACATGTCTCTTTTTTCAATTTTAAATGTGCTTAAACATGGTTTCCACTTGTGTTTTTTGCCTTGTGTTTCACTGTGATCCCACACTGCTGGAGTAAGTACTATTGTGAACAGTTTTAAAAAGAAATCCATTACATTTGCAAGCTTCTTGTGTAAGAGAAGACATATTTTTCAGAAACATTTTAATAATTTTAAATAATTGTAGAAATTAGTCCATTACACAAGTAATAGATTTGTTTTTTTTAAAGTAACCTTTCTACACAGTGATTCTGAGACTGTCCTCAGCTGTTTTCAAATGGCACACATCATGATAAACAAGGACTTGCTACTGGTTCCATTAATTTATTTTCCAGTCCTTACTAGCCTTTCCAAGGATTAATTCACATCTCTACCTTATCCCTGTTATTGTCCTTGCTCCTTGGCTGATAGTTTATTGTGAGGGAGCTCTGATAACCTCAAGCAGACACGCAAGTGCCAGATTTGTATTTCAACTTGCTTATCCACTGGATTATGCAAAAGCCCCCATATGAAGTTTGTCTGAACCTACTGAATTAATTTTAATATTGTCTGGCATCACATTATCTCTGATGTGCTTCAGTATATCAATATTCATGGGAAATAGATTATATACTCAAACAGATTACAATAAAAAATGTTACACAATTAAATGCCTGCATCTTTAGATAGACCTAACTGTGGTATGTTTAAACTTATTGTAAATAATTTCTGATTGTGTCGTTACCATGTTAAGTTAACTAGCAAATTATTGTGAAATTGTAAAGTTTTTAGAGTAAATTAACATGAACACAGCAGCAATAGCATCCAGTGTAATTATAAGATTTAAAGAAGACTGGGGTTCCTTAAGTAATGAATTTCATCCTGTCTATTATTTCGTGTGGTTTTAGGTTGAAATACTGTGGACATTACTGAGGATGTCGATAGGCCAGTTTGCAGCCTGTTAAAATTAAGTACTGATAAGACAGTGAGTGTGTTGATTTATATTGGATATATTGGAGCCAGATTTAGGAGGCTGGTTAGTAATCTTGCTGTCATTTTTTTTTCTATCATTCCCTATTATAGATGGCAATTGCAGAAATTATATTGTCTTTGCAGCAGTCCCAAACTACCTTCTTATCTTATATGCTATTTGTCTTTTTACATGTCAAGGATATATTACTATAACAGATTTCAGACTGATCTTCCCAGTTATTTATTATTGTGTCTGCAATCTGTTCCAAATTTATCGACCCCTATGTTATCGAGAGAATTCAATCTGATCATATCTTCCTCTTTCCCATGTAACCTTGACTTGCTTCCTGTTTCATTTCGCTTTGAAATTCTCCTGCTGTTCTGCAGTGGTTGAGTTCCACAATATCTGTCACTCATGTCCAACTTAGCTGCCTGCATTTTTCTTCTCCAGCCTTGGAATAGATTAACTGCTTGTCCCAAAGAGCCAAAACAGATCACAGTCATCATCTGAAGAAGGCAGTTTTAGCTTTTTTGTACTTGTATGCATTTTAAATTTAGACTGTTATCTTTAATTTATTATAAGTCTAACTTCCATAACTTTCACTTTGTTCATTATTGCTTATTTGTTCCAACTTTGTGTTTTTTTATTAGACAGGACTATTTCTATTTTTTTCTTCTTCTAAAAGGTCCATATTAATTTTTGAAAATAGTGCAAGGAAGGTCTGAAATTAGATCATTGGATCCATCTAGCTCGTTTGCTTGCTGGTAGCTAATACATATAAGGAACTCATTCATTTTAAGTCATTTTAAGGATCCCATTGTAAGCATTCTGTATTAAATGCATTTCTTCTTAGTATCTGCTTGTGGCCTCTGGTTTGTGTTGTTCACCATTATGAAGTCCACTGGGTTGGCTTTAACAATGGTTCTGAGGTGGTTGAATTCCTGATTCATATCCCCTAATAGTTTTCTCAGTTCAAATCTAAAGGGATTTTATAACACCGATTTTAGATCAATGGATCTTAATTTTCAAGACTTCTTATTTCATAGATTGGAACCGCAGTTAGATTTTTATCTTGTTTTTGTTGCAGCAGTCAGGGTTCTGTACAGTCTCCTTCTGCAGCCTCATGAAGCTTAAGTGCTTGCTTTATGCTTGCTTTATTGCACTCCTGATGAGAAAACTGTTTACTGATGAGCTTCACTTCTATGAACTGATACATAAACACACATCAAGTGTGGTCTCTGAAAATCTTTGCATTTCTGTCTGTGGTTTGCAAAAGATACAAATTCTTGAATGCAATAGACTCATTGTATCATACTTATGATATAAAAAAACATCACCAAGAAAACTAAGTATATGCTAGTGAAACACACCTAACCAGAAGAGCTTACAGATAAATATTAGTGATTTCTAATATTAAATGATAATTATAGCTTTGTATAACTGTTTAACCTTGGAAAAAGTGTCTTTTGTGTGTATTCAAGCTTCTTAATGCTGCATAGAAATAGTACAGTGGTGTGACGTTTATCACTGCTGCCTCACAGCTCTATGGTCCTGGGTTCAACGTTGGCCTCAGATGTGTATCTGTATTTGTATGTTCTTATTGTGCAGGTTTCCTCAGGTGCTCCAGTGTCCTCCCATCTCAATCAGCAACAGATTAAGATTTAACAACAGGCAAAGTGCCTTCTGATCTCAGTAATTTGTTCAATTAGCCAATTAAGTTCACAGGTGGAATGAAAACTGGGGTTCCTCAAGGCATTAGAGGAAATAATTGAAGACTTTAGTACAGTCTATCTAGTTGTGTACATGTCGGTACTCTGCAGTTGTTGCTTGTCATTTTGTGGAACGTGTTACCTTTTTTCTAGATGCCTACTATATATAATTAGATTGGGTGTGTCTGAACTAGAGATCACAAAAAGTCCTCTATGATGCATGATACATGACTGTTCCTACTCTTACATGTACATTAAAACAGTTTTCTTTTTTTAGAAAGTGTAGGCTTTCCAAAACCTGATGGAAAATTTCATTTAATATCTTTGATTAACAAGCATATTGCTTCACCAGTCTATTTTGAATAGACCTTTAAATGCACCAGTTTCACTTATTTCAAGCTCATTTGCTCATTTGCTCATTTCCATAGGGGATTTATCTCACTTTGCTTACATTATTCTGTAGCAAATTTGATTTGAGGTGAAATGTGACTCATCTGACTAAATCTGTCCAAGTGCAGTGTCAATGTAAACCATAATTTCACCTACAAAGCTAGTCATTAAAATTACCCTAGGCCAAAATGATGAGGTGTAATTTCTTGCCAGTAAAGGCTAGAAAAAATACTTTTACAGGTAAAAAGGAGAAAATTAACATTCCTTGTCTGAGACATTGCTTGAAGTCCAGGTGGAGAACAGAGATTATGTCCCTTCACTTTGGTGTGAAGACTGCATTATTCAGTCTGTTTCTAACATTCACTTTGACTAAAAATTCAGTGGTGGAAATTCAAAGGCCTTAAATGCAATGGTGGAAATGTTACAGAATTTATACATATATTCATCCTACATAACCCCCCTCCCCACTAGTTAAAGTCTATAAATATACTGCATCTGTATAAGTGCAAGTGTTGTTGTAGTTTGATTTCAAACGGATTTTATGCTTGGCAACAACTGCATTTTTAAAGATGTTAGAAAAATGTTTTAAAGCATTTCAGGGTATCTCTGCACTAAATGTATTTTTTTATTTGTGGTAGGGTTTGAAAAGATTTTTAGAGTACTCGATATGAGACTGTTGCATGAACTCCACATCAGTTAACATGTGCATTGACATTCAGTCTGATTTTTAATCGGGGAAATACTCTACAGTCCTTTGCTATCGGAACTTTTATGAGATCACCAGGGAAAGTGGGCCTGATTGGGGCTAATGAAATCATTGGCCATGTGCCTGGCCAGATACTGTACACCTCAGGAGTGAATAAACACTAGTACAGTATGTGCTGTGAGTGTACAGTATAGGGACAAAGGGAAGCGGCTTACTCGTACTGAGGCTATTCAACTTGCTGCTTAATTGTTATTTAACTTTTGCAGTTTTTCCTTATTTGTGTATTTCCTTTTCATTTCATAATCAGGGCTGTTCACATAAAATTCTCTACTTGGCATTTAATCATTGCTACACCACCACTAATACTATAACATTACTATTAATAATCAGAAGGAACCAAAGAAACAACAACAGCAAATTAATATATTATTTCCTATATTTGATTCTTACTGGTATCTATTAATAAGGGCACTTTGGTTGAAACTAGCCTGATTAAATTTTCTTTTTCATCTGTTTTTGTGCCCAGGATAGATTTTATTTCTTAGTTTAGAATCAACAGTTTAGATTTTATTTTATACTCCAACCTTGATTTGGAAATCCTATCTGTAAATGAATTTAGCTTGAAACCTTTGTACCAACACTGGAGCGATGAATGCAAGATGCACGTGACTCCTCTGAAGAGACCTGTCAGATGGTCCACATCTTACATACTGGAAGCCTACACCCCAGACAGCACAGCTCAGAATCAGAAACACGGGCTGATGTAGGCCTTAGGAATAATAGTGCACATTCAAAGGTGCACGCTTGGACCAGATTCAGGTGTGCAGCTTCTAGATTATAGGGAACCAACTTCCCTCCAAATGAGAGTCTTGACTGGTTGATCCTCTCAGGTGTCTGAGATTGAAGATTAATGTTCCCTCTCACATGCAGGTCATATAGGCTCCTGTAATGTGAGGTCTGTTGTTGTTTTTATTCATATATTATGAGCTGCATATTGCATCAGTTTGAGAAGATGTGCAGCTCTCACTGTGAGTTCATAGGGTTCATTGTTACAAATGGGACAAAGATATCCAGGGATCTCAAGAACACCTAACACCAACGTAATTTATCTAGTGGCACCTGCACTCGGGATAATATTCCCAATAATGGTCCAATGTGAAACTGTGCTTCTGTTCAAGCACCGGACTCAAACTGTACTTCAAATAAACATCATTACTAGTAGAGTCTTTTAAAAATTAATTTATTTATTGATTTAGTCTATGAAATGATCTTTTGCTTTTTTTTGTAAATGTAAGGTGTTTATTATTCTTATTAATAACAAGATAAATGTTATCCAGTTTTGCTTGCAACATGTGTTTTGTTACTTTATCAACTTGTGATGAATATGGCATCATTTGAGATGTGAAGGCATTGAAAGATGCATATGTCATCCCTTTTGCTCCATTATCTATTGACAGATTGAAAGGTTTAGGCATAACCATATAATCCCACTGGCTGCAAGTGTTTTCCGCAGAAAAAGGACTTTTTTCGTTTTCTCCCTTTAATTTCCAATTGATGACTTGTTGGCTTGAAACACTCTGACAGCAGCTCTATTATTGAAGCCACTTTAAAGTGTGATTTCCAGGAGTTAAAGGATAGCAGGGTCATGTATTTTAGTGTGAGGGGGTCTCCAGGGGAAACCGTTCTACATATAATAGTGGTACTCAGTGGCCGATAGGTGGCATTGTTGCCCGTGTTTCATAAATTCCAGAGGGTGAAGAGAGAATGCACTTTATTTTACATTAAAACTTAACCAGAGATCCTCTTTACACTAGTGATAGTGAGGCAATATGGAGGATGAACTGTGTGTGTGCGCCCATTTTGTTAATCAAAGGAAGAACCTTCTTGGCATTCTTGGAGTCTAATAGAATAATTTTTAGTTCAATGTTCCGGCTACAGAGGACAACTCGGAGACAAATCTCCACTTGAGAGATAAAGAATAACAGTTAAGAGAATCTAAGAGAGGTAACAAGTGTGAGGGGGCCTGCTCATTCAGTAATCAATAAGTGAAATCAAACATTTGTCTAGGCAATCCCCTGGCTTGCAAGTGTGAAATATTTTTCCTTGTTTGACCACATCCCTTAGGATTTTCTTAGACCTTAACCCCTCCCCATGGTCTTTGTCATCCTGTGAAGAAATTTAGCTCCCTTAGCCTGCATTAGTACAATAATCTCCCCAAGTTCTTCAATTATTCTTCTTATTCTTCTACGAACTGTTTAATATGTATAATATGACGTTATGGTGAATAAAACTGAACACAGTATTCTAAATGCATTGTACAGCATAACATAACATCCCATGGACTTAAATTCTACTCCTTTTTCCATATACTGTATATGTCAAATATATTTGTCAACACTATTTTGACATATGTAAATATATGTGGAATTTAAATCCTTACAAAGTGGTCGTGTTTTACGTTTACCACAGCACATACAATATTTGATTGATTAATTCTCTGACCCTGTCAGGTTTTGTCAGTGATGTCAGTGATCAAAGAATTGTATAGTGATGGTTTGGCAAATGGTAGATAAAATTGTGCACAGGGTGTAAAGGGACTTGTTTTTTTGGGGAGGATTGAGGAGATTTCGGCATTTAGGTCTATAAAGTGCTTTGAGCAGAAGTTTGTCAAATAACCTTGCCAAGGAGTGCCAATCATTTTTTAGCAGCTCCACGGCAGTTTGTTTCTGTCAGAGAGTTCGGTATTCACAAACAGTATTCACAAACAGAGGAGGGCTCTATGCACACTTAGAAATGATCATGTGCAGAACACAAAGCTCTGTATGAAAGAACAAACAGATAGCAGACTTTTTTTATTTTGCTTTTACACATAATCATAGTATTTCTTTAATTCACAATTAGAGGCATTTCTACATTTGTGAATAAATGAGACAATAAATTAACTATCTTAGAAAAATGACTGTGTGAGACTGGAAATAATTATGCCTTTATGAGAATATTTATCCATATAAGAACCTGGCTTCTCTATGCAGTGATCTGCAGACACCTTCAGCTACTGCAAATTGTTTCACATTTTGTTGCTTTACAGTGCTTTCAAATTAGAATTTCTATGTAGAATCTCAACATAGATAAACCTAGGAATGCATTTAGAATATAAATAAGCAAGATTATCAGAGAAAAACAGACAATTCTTATTTGCATAAATATTCATCACTTTTAGTACAGCAGGCCTAAATCAGCTCAAGTGCAAATTAATTTTTTGAAAGGTCACTGGATTACTTAAATAGTAATCTATTTTAGATATTTAAAATTTCCACCTAGGCATAATCAAAGTCTTGAAGACCAAATAAGTCAGAAATACAGTGATAGAGAGGCACAGACACCATTTGTATAAGGTCACCATCCCAAACCAAGCAGTTGAACTTGCAGGAAACTGGTTAGGGATGCCACCTAAAGCCAACAATGTCTACCTCAGTATCTACAGTAAACACTTATGCAATTTATACATTTCATTTTGTACATTTTCTTTTCAATGTACAGTCAGTTCATATTTGTCAAATATATAATTCAGAGTGGTTTACATGCCGACTAGCATGTAAAACAGTGTTTTTTTTTAACTTTGCAATAGGATCATGCAAATGGGAGTGATGTGATAACTGCTAGAAATTCTTCAAAATACCTTAATTTCAGAGCTTTGGAGGTGTATTGAGTTTATTAAACGTGTGGTCAGATTATGGTGAGGATTTGATTTGAGCTGCCTGGGTAATTGTTGAGCACGTCAGTATTATCAGTCCTTACAGTCTATCCTGAAAATGAAACCCTGATTATGAGGTGCTTTGTCAACATTATGACTTTGTGATATTCATTTTTTCATAACCTGTAGGTTATGTGGATGTGGGCATGATCCCAGAGGGCGCAAGGGATATTGTAGTGAAAGAAGTGGAGGAGGCTGGGAATTTTCTGGTTCTGAGGAGTGAAGATCCGGAGAAGTATTACCTAAACGGCAATTTCATCATCCAGTGGAATGGAGAGTACCTGGCGGGAGGAACGACATTTTACTATGAGAGAAAAGGGAACCTGGAGAATCTCACCTCCCCTGGCCCAACACGAGAGCCTGTGTGGTTACAGGTAAAACTGGGGGAGCATGAAGACCTTGTGGTTCTGGGGCTTGCAAGTGCCTCAAGCAGCCAGGTTCCTCATTTGCTGAGCATACTGGGCTTTCAGACCAGAGGTCTCCAATCCAGTTAGTCTTATACCTCACCCTTAAGCCCCTGTCTCTAAAGATTGGAAATATTTGTGAGATTGGTTAAATAAGCAGGAAATTTGCTAGTTTAGGAAACACTGGTCCTTGAGTGATAAAAGGAATTTGTTGCACATTGTTGCTTGTTTACTGATAATTAAAATGTTCACCTGTTTGAATTCTCACAGCTAAATTGCTCTGTTTTTGAATTGGGAAGATGTAATCATCACCTACCACACTCCTCTTTAGGCTGGAGTCTCTGTCTTGTGGTGTTTTAGGTTTGTGTGGTGACTATGCATATGATGGTTTGAGAAGTGTCTTTGTCGGGTAGAACTATTACTTCTGAATGGCGAGTGTTATATCTACAACTCAGGTATTTGATAGATAGCCACTTCAGGAATGCCAACATTGTGAGAAGAAAAATAGCTAAGTCAGCAAAAATTTGAAAAATAAGTTAATTTCTGTTATGTTCTATAGAATTTGGGTGGCTAGCTGTGATTCTCTTAAGCAACTAAAGGTAAGCTAAACCTAATATTTTGTATGTAAAGTAGATGGTAAAAGGTATCAATAACTTATTTCCACAGTCTGTTGGTTTGGTACTACAGTAATCCAATCAAATACTGCTCCTGCTTAGATACACAGTGCTTTTTACTGTGAGCACTTCAGTTGCTTTCATAATGAGAAGCACCTAGAAGCCATGCTTGTACCAGTGGTTTGGTTAGCAGGAAAGCTACAGCAGGTAACCCTTGGAAACCTATGCTATGTGTAAGACAATCAACTATCAGTTTTGTTTTCTAGCTGCTGTTCCAAGAACAAAACCCTGGGATAGAGTATGAGTACACGATAAGAAACAGTCGTGTGAAAGGAAATGACATCAGTGTTCTAGAGTATAAATGGAAGTATGGTGCCTGGACTGACTGCAGTGCCACCTGTGGGACAGGTAAATCCAAGGCGATTTGAAATACTCAGATGATGTTCCTCTTTGATGTTGGCTGCAGGACTCAACAACTCTAATTCTTAGAGGCCATTGCCCTGTGTATTTTGTAGGACTCTTTATATCGCAAACAGTTTAGGATGTTTATGTTGGTCCAATTAAGCTATAAATGGGCTAGTTTGCGTTGTTAATCATCATTAGAACCTCCTGGATGTTGTTGTTGAGGATCAGTTTTATAGAGACCTAGGCCAGATGAAGATGGCAATTCACAATCAGAATTTCAGCGATTCTGCTTGTACACTGGATGCTATAAGGAAGGGAACTTTTGATGAGTGGAAAAGTTAAAGTGGCTGAGGCAAAGAAAACCAGAGAAAAATAGAATTTCTCAGGTGCAGGATTTTGTGACTCACCACATTAAATGGTAAACTTGATAGAAACACTGTCAAAAGAGTAGTGAATGGTGAACACTGGGATCTAATCTTTTGACAAACATATTTTAGTCCGGGTAGGTTTTTACAGAAGTGATCTTTTCTGTAACATATAGGAAACAGCATTAAATGAACTGAATACTGTAGTGCATTCTGTGGTATAATATTAACACTTTGAATTTTTTAAAATGAATGACTGTGCATTTTATCATTCATAGTGATACGTATTATAACTTATATTGCTGAATCATTAATTGAGACACACCCTACAATAATAAGGATTAATATAGGTATTTGAACAAGTCAGACTTCAACTGAAACAACAAGATCCCTGAAGGAAATTTGTTAATTGCAAGATATTGTCTGTGTTTTTGCTTAATTTTGCTTGTTTCCTGTTAGGCTTTCAGCGGCAACCTGTGCGATGTTTTGAGACAGAGACTGGAGTTGTAGAGGAGACGCTTTGTGATCCAGACACAAGACCATTAGACAGGCAGAGAAAATGCAAGACTATGGACTGTCCAGCAAGGTATACTGTAAATCGTAAAACAAAGTATACTGTCAGCTCTCCACTAAGCAACTCTCTGTTAAGCTCTTTTTAATCAACAAATATGGTCAAAGAGTGTGGGCTCTGACCTGTGTTCCAGCTACTGGTGTTTTGAATCTGAGCTGTGTCTTTAAGTGACTATGACCTGGAATGCCCATGTGGTAGTGTACAATTGGGGAGGGTGGGCTTGACAGCTAGGATTCCTAAAATTGCCAAAATTTCCTTGTAAACATTCCCACTGCCATCAGTGGGAACTACAGTGCTCCTCCAGTCAATGTCTTCTGTGAGCACTGCAGGGCTGGTTATGTGAATGCAAAATGGATTTGCTGAAAACTGCAGGTCCCAGAGGAAAGCACACAGTTTTTTTTTCTTTTCCTTCCTGTGGTGGTACAAGTTACCCATGTGTGGGGGTCATTTCAAATTGGATGATGAAAAAATAACTCAAAATAATTATAGATTACAAATTTTAGAAAGAAAATGACTGAATTTGTAAGTCTTAAGCTAGGTATTACATTCCCAAGGCACATGACTTGTTGAAAGTTCTCTAGAAAAAATAGCAATACAATTGCTGTGTATCAGTGTTCAGTGTAAAGACTGCTTTCTCAAACATACATTTTAATTCATTACCTAAGGCAAAACAGCACATTGCCTTTTCTCAAAGGAAAGAGTCACACAGATCCAAACTCAGCTGCAGAATTTCTTATTGGGGGTCTGTCAGAGGTGAAGATCCTGCATATTGGTTAATATATAGCGCCAGATAATTGCTGTCTTAAACATTTATATTATCATTAATGTTAGATTTATACAAATTAAATGTGTAGTTTCGCAGTGGTCAGGAAGTCAGTAATGGATTAATTGTACTCATGCATAGGTTTGTGAGTGCAAAGGCAAGCCTGAAGAATTAATTGTAACGCATTCATTTATTATTATTATTATTATTATTATTATTATTATTAGGTTGATTCCTTGGTTTGTTCTGAACTTTAAGATTTGTGAATCAGGAGTTGAAAGTGATACACAATGGAAATAATTCATTTTGAAATTCCCCTCACCTTGTTACTTCCAGGTGGTGGGTTGGAAGCTGGCAGCTGTGCTCTGCAACGTGTGGGCCATCTGGTGTGAAGAAACGCACTGTGCTGTGTGTGCGCACTGTTGGAGAAGAAGAGCGTGTTCTCCCTTTTACAGAATGCAAACACCTCCTGAAGCCCAAGTCCCTTGTGCCGTGCAACAGAGAGGTGCTCTGTGGCTCCGAATGGGCTGTGGGGAACTGGAGCAAGGCACGTACTGACCCCCTCTGAGCTGTCTGTGTGTTGTGAGAAAGTAAGCCAGTCTCAGCATCCAACTGCTAAAAGTTCAGATATCGTATTATTTCAAGCGAAATAAACCCTCAGTGGATTTATTGTTTGCTCTGACCTTTATAAGGTCTTTTCTTAGAAATTGCTGGACTCCAATTTGTGCTGGTAATAAGTTTTTTTTTAACAATTGTTAAAACTGTTGTCTGGCTATATTTTTTGCTAGAAAAGGTCACACTATAAAACTAAAAGTAAAAAAAAAGTATAATAGCTGAAAAATATCAATTTTGCCAATACGACACAAAAAGATAAGTAAAACATAACTGTGGATGGCTGATAAACCTTTGTCACTGTCTATATGTGCAGGTCTTATCAGATTCTATTGAAATTGTCGTATTAGATCTCCTTGGTAAAAGATGTTTTGCTTTTGCTTACTGTGGGTTGCATACAGTCATCCTCCGCTGGTTTCCACCTACCCACTGACTATTTTGCAAACACACATCTGCCATGACCCTTTTTGTTTAACCCTGAGAATTCCAGAAGGCAGCTTCTTGTTCGTCATCAGTCTTTGATTTTCACTGAGTGTGACCAACCCACACCCACTACATGTGAATTTTTGTTTAGTTGTTGCATTTTATATGCAAGGGTATCGCAAATATTGCAATGTGCAAAAACAACAAGTAAGTCACAGACTTTCATTTATGGTACTGTTACCACTCTGTTTTGCATGGGTTCACGAGCTATTGTTCAAATCCCAGCTATTATTCACTCCCTGCCATCTCCTTGACCCTGTCTTTCAGAGGGATGCAAGGAGAATAAGGCAGAGGCCTGAAGAGCAGTTTTTTTCAAAGTGCCACAGTAATGGCTATCCGAATTCTCAGTTAGCTACAGTAGTTTATAAAACCGCTGCTCATACTGTATTTTTACCTTCACAAAGATAACATGACTGTTTTTTCCTTTTAAAAATCTTTTAAAAACCAAGCCTTTGGCAGTTGAGTTGATCTAAATCTTAGTCTTTTTGCCATTCCAAATATATCTTGAAATGAATGATTCCCAGTCACTAAACAGCACTGAGGAGACCCCTACAGGTAGGCTTTGACAAAGGTGAAGCAGGCACGTTAGATAAATTAATTAAATATATTGTGGTGTCGCCGGGGGAAAATAGGCGTATAAGAGTTTTAACTCACACAACACTGTTCTCCTGTGCTCTTCGTCTGTGTGCCTCCCCAAATCCGTTCCGCAATCCGTAGTCGGTATCCTTAAACAATCCAAGTTCCCAAATCCGTATGTCCACACTCCTCTGCGTCGTATCCAAGCCGTAATCCGTAATCCTAGTCAAAATCCGTATCCAATAGTCCGTTATTCTTAATTCTCTTCTAGCACACTCCTAATATCTCTCCTTCCTCCAAAACGCTTTCACCTTATCGGCTACTGCGCCGGCTCATCGCTTCTGGGGCATTTTTATCCTGTTTCCTGATGTAGTTCAGCTGTGTCTCCTTGTTTCGCTGCATAGGCTTTTTCCAATAGCAGGTCAGCTGGTTATCCTGGGTGGCCATCTTGCCCAGGTCTATATCGAGTATTTTCAGTGTTTTGTTCCGGAAATACCGGTTATAAATGACCCTGCCCCGGGTCCTCTTACAATATATATATTATAATATTCATATTAACAACTATTAATAAAGTCAATATTCTAAACATCAACAGGTTTATAACTAATTTGCAAAATACATTTTTTTCATTAATGTTGACTTTTCCTTTTTTATTCTTAGTGCTCGGTCTCCTGTGGGGGAGGTGTGAGGTCTAGATCAGTTAGCTGTGTCGCAGTGGCCACAGAAAAGTGTGACCCATCAAAGAAGCCCCATTCCAAGCTTCTGTGCAGCCTACAGAGCTGTCCCTCAAGCCGGAGGACATTCCCCCCTTCATTTCTGAAATTCCGGAAAATCTTCACAAAGAGCTCCCCCAACAATGGAACTCTTAAGCCAAGTTCAACAACTCTCCAGCCAGATCCAATGACAACCACCCCAACCTCTACATGGACTACAACAGCTATGACTATCACCAGTCCATCTGTTGTGACCAGCGTCCTTTCTCTCTCCACATGGGCAAATCCTATTGCAGAAGATACTGTCGACAGTGAGGATTACTATTTCAACTTTATTGTAGTAAAAAATGGAAGCACAAAGGGCATTCCTAAGATCTCTCGAGATAGTATCACCAATCGCAAGGACCCTGAACCAAATAATGGTCTGGACGAGGATCATGGGAGTACCCCTGACATTATATTTGCAGATAAGCATGTGAGATATACTCCTGGATATGACTATGTAACGGATGATTCCACTTTGACCCGAAAAGAGGCAAATGAAGGTAGCCCACACAAAGGCATAAACTCTTCCAGGGATCTTTACAGAACTACTGCTCCAACACCTTATACCAGTCAGAGCCCTTTGGCCAGGACCACGCTTCCCTATCACAGAACTGTTTCAACTGGCAAAACCCATATTAAACCAAGTAACAAATGGTTGACAAGGACAAGGACAGCGACCATGTCACCCATTAGATATAAGACAAAACTGACAACTCCCACTACATCTTGGATGCCTCACTCAGAAACAGAAAAGATTCATACAGCTGTCACTGTTTATCCAACAATTAAAGTCTTGAAAGAGCACTTTAAGAAGGTATCTGATCCATGGGCAACGAGAAATGCCACTGCAGCTCCAGAAGTCTATGGCTCTAGAGATGGACATTTCCTCAGCTTTACAGGAAACTATGAAAACATCCACGGCAAACCTCACATCAGCAGGAATGCTCACTGGGTCATTGGAAACTGGAGTGAGGTGAGTTTTCATATTTAATTTCCTTTCTTTGGCTTTCAGCCTGTTGTGGTTGGATGGGGCCTCAGAGAATGAAGAGAATGAAGGAGAAAGGTAAGCATTTGTTCACACTTTAGTCTTCAGGAGATTCCAGGATATTGAAACATTGCCTTCATATGATGATAAAACAACTTGAAAGTTTAGTTTTTCATTATGAAAAATTATAATTTTGCATTATTTCTAAATATAACAAGACTTGTGAGTTTCCTTTTGTTTATGTACTTCTGTTTCAATCATACATACAACTTTTCTTTCTATTCTTCTACTGTTTTTCTTTTGCTCATTGTATTTATGTCCTTGATGATGTCCTCATTCAGCTTGCCCAGACTGATAAGAAGAAAAGGCAAATGACAGAGAAACATGAGGCTGGCTACTCTATTGTTATTCACTCAAGTCTTGAAATCTCCATTTTGCACACATGTATATGTGAAACAAACAGCAACACAGTTCTCTTGAGTCATAACACATTTCTTCAAAATGAGCCACAACGGCTTTGCCAAACTGGGAAGACTAGCTTTGATAAAGAGTACCTTGTTCCTCTGATAGTGTTCCACGACCTGTGGACTGGGTGCAGTCTGGAGAACAGTTGTGTGCAGCACTAATAAGGATTCAGACTGTGAAAACATCAAAAGGCCTGACCCAGCCAGAAGGTGCCATCTCCGCCCATGTGCTGCCTGGAAAAGTGGAGAGTGGAGTAAGGTGAGAGAGGCTTTGCCTGACGGGTAATCTGTCCACAGAGAGGCCAGCCGGAGCAACACAAATTCAATTAGCTGCATTGCACTTGTTCGGTCCCCTATAGGCACCTCCTGATACTCTGTGAATTTCATTAAAACCACTTTGAAAATATGAAAAGGTGTCTGGTGTAAACTCTGTTTTTCGAGTGTACCCTCCGGTTTCACAGGTCATTCCCAGGCAAGTTGTTTTTCAGAAAGTACATAACAGTATTTAATAGTTTACTAATAAACTACTGGAATTATTATAAACAACTATGTTTCTAAGCCTGTATCACCTTATGATTAATATTTTTTGTACATTATCCATGGTTCCTAAGCAAACTTTTTTTCAAAGTTTGAAATGAAGACGTTTTACATATGTGTGTTACTTCCTAGACCAATTTGTTTGAATTTATGATACACAATGGTTACCTGTTCCTTTTTTGTTATATTATCAGCTCAAAAATGGATAGTATATGCATTTATAACATCAAAAAGTGTTTTATGTTGATTTTGTGACTTGTGCTGAGAATAGTGAGAACCTCTCCACCCCCCATTCCTTTCTGTTCAGTTCCACTACATGGAATTCAATTTGAAACTGAGAACAGGAGGTGTTTCTTTACCCAAAGTTTTGGGTTAGTGTGAAACAAGCTGCCCAGCCATGTTCTTAAAGCCAATACCTTGGCATCCTTCAGAAAACCACTGGATGACAACTAACTTTTACATGGGCGAGATGGACCGGAGGCCTTCCTCTTGTTTGTAAGCTCTCTTATGTTCCTTGCAGTGTTCAGAAGGCTGCACAGAGGCCACAAAAGTTCGTGATGTGCAGTGCATAGACACTCAGAGCAAGCGACAGCTGCGACCTTTTCACTGCCAAGCCCTGGCTTTCAAGCCCTCTGTATCTGCTCCTTGTAACCATCAGCGCTGCTTGGAATGGCGCCTGTCACCATGGAGCAAGGTACTGCTGCCATTTATCCTTTCACTAGCTGCAGTCCCTGCACTTCCAGTGTTTGAACTGTACCAAAAATAGCTCATACTGAGGATAAATGACTCCATTAGCATTTCATGCCTGTTTTGACAGATGGATGATTTCACAGTTATCGAACTGTTATTTGTTAAATTATTCATTGCTTTAGTTTCCTAAATTGTTGATGGCCACATTCCACAATGAAAAGGATTTTCCCCACGGTGCCTTTGTTAAAAATTGCCTCGCAGTCCTTCATAAATGAACAACTTAATTTAAGCTTATATTTATCAGGACTGTTTGAGTCAAGGAATGCTTTTTGATGTCAATTTAATCTTTATCATGTGAGAAAATGTGAAAAAAAAGGCTTGTGGTATACTAAGGATGTGGATTATGTAGTTAAGCATCTACCTCCTGTGTTTGTGTCATATAACTTCAAAGGCTTACATTGTTCTTTAATAAACTGTGTGAAGCAGAACTTAATTTAAGTTCTCTTTGATTCAGGAAAAAAGGAAATGCCTCCCCTGCTAACAATAACAATGGATGTGGCTGATGCTTCCAAAATATGTTAGGATTTGAGAACTAATATTCTTTCAAGTTCTCTATTGACCAAAATGTTTGAAAGGTTTAATGTACAGTATGAATCCTGTTAAAATCAATATCAATATCGTCTTCAAAATAAAACAATTTAAAATGTAGAACTTTATAAATCTGAGGAAAAAAGATCAGACACCACTTTACTATTCAGCTGAAGAGCTGCTGGCTTGTTTGACACAAAATCCATATTTATTCTGTGAAATTTTTAATGTCTTTTAGTGCTCCAAGAGCTGTGGACCTGGCCTGCGAGAACGCCTTGTATACTGCCCCGAGTACAATCGCTGCAACTTGAAAGAAAGGCCGAGTAGCACTGAGCCTTGCAGTGAACGTCTCTGTACCAAGTGGGTTGCTGATGCCTGGGAAGAGGTAATTTACACACAGAGCAGAGTGTTTCCCTAGCAGCTGTGAAGAGTGCTAGTCAGGCTGTGTTTTACCTAACTCCCAGCACCTGCATGTGGTAAGGCTGGTCCCACATGTGCAGGAAGTTAGATAATCTCCATTGATAATTGATATTGTTTTCCCTTGTTCAAAGTGGGACTGTGGAAACAAGAGCAGCTCTTTTTTGGGGGTGGAAGCACAAGGCTTGATTGAAAGCTAGTCTGTACATGAAAAGCACACACACAGAACTCCTTGTGCATGCATGGGTTTTGCCCTTCTGTAAAGATGTCAATAATTTAGCATTGAAACTTGGACTTTGAACATTTATTGATTCTATGTTTATTTTATGTTGGCTATAAATGTATGTTGGTGAATTGGCCACAAACTAGGTGAATTGGCTTTTCCCTACCCTAGTGAATCACTGCATCTCTAACTGATGGATAAATAATTCTATGAAAATAATTATTAGATCTAAACTAATATTAAAGGATCACCTATATGGAAATAGTATCTTGGGGGGTAGTTAATATGGTTTTAGAAATGGTAGTCCTTTCCTAACCAATTTATTAATAATTCACAGAGCATATGCTATAGTGTATTTAGATTTTCAGAAGGTTTTTGATAAAGTTAACCATAAAAGATCAATTCTCAAATTGCAAAATTGCAAGCAGCAGGCATTCAGGGAAACATACGTGTTTACAATTGAGAATTTGTTAATAAATAGAAAGCGGAGAGTATCAATAAGGTGTGACTATTCAAAATGGGGTGATATAATTATGGAGTAGGAATCTGTACTACAACTACTGTTCTCACTATTACAGTATATATCAATGATCAATATTCTGGAATAGTAATCTACTCAAATTTGCAGAAGCTACCAAATTGGGAGGATTACAAAATGTTAATGCATCAAATGAAACTCAAGAAGTGCAGGGTTTTGCATGAAGGTATTAATGAAAATGAAAACTATAAATGTAAAATGGAAAACAATTATAAAAGGTTGAGGTTACTTATTAAAAAGACTAGGTGTTTATGTTGGCTGGTCATTTACTGTTCATCTTTTAGACAATATGGAAAGGCGATTAAAAAGGCAAACAAAATTTTAGAATATATAGGTAAAACTGTATAATTTAATTCAGGGGATAATATGTAAAAATTGTACAATTAACTAGTGAGACCTCATTTAGAATATAGTGTACAATTTAGATAGTCGCATTACAGAAAATATACTGTATTACTGCTCTGGAATCAGTCAAGAGAAGAGCAATCAGATATACTGTATTCCTCAGCTTAAGGGAAAGTCATTCAGTGCCAAGATATAGAACAAGTATTAAAAATTCTCAGAAATATGAGGATGAGTTAACCCAGTTTAACCCAGAAGATTTCTTCAGAATGAACACACAACCTAGAGGACATCAGTGAAGACAATAAGGAAGAGAAGAGAATAGAAGGCACTTTTAACACAGTGTTACCCATCCATGTCCTTGAAGCTGATACCCTAGATTCTTTCAAGACACCGCCAGAGAAGATCCTTGGTTCAATTAGCTACTCTTTATCAAATGGGGTAACCTTTTTGAGTGTAACCCTTCACAATATACAATTAATAAGTTTAATTTAGTAAATGTACTCCCTTTTTAAACAGAAATAATACCAAAGTGCTGCAGTATGTGCATTATGAACCTACTCAACTTAACAAATATTGTTCAAATATTGATTTTTTTCCATACCAGTACCAGTACTAGCTATTGTGAGGCAATTAAATATTAATGAGGGGCTACTAATATCAAAAACAGTTTAATAGTTTATTATATCAATACACGCACAAGAATTACCCACAAATTACAACAAAAAACACAGAGATAGAAAACAGGGTAAATTCAGTTCTTATTCAGTCACTAATCTATGTATTTAATCTGAACTTGCCCATTATTGTCTAGCAGACAGCCAGCTTACCCACTGTACATGGGCGGAGTGGTGGCTCTGTAGCTAAGGATCCGTGCCTGTGATTGGAAGATTGCTGGTTCGTATCCTGTGGCTGGCAGAGGAATCCTACTCCGTTGGGCCCCTGAGCAAGGCCCTTAACCCAACTGCTCCAGGGGTGCTGTACAATGTCTGACCCTGCGCTCTGAACCCAAGCTTCTCTCCCTGTCTGTGTGTCTGTGTCTCATGGAGAGCAAGCTGGGGTATGCGAAAAGATGAATTCCTAATGCAAGAAATTGGATAGGGCTAATAAAGCAACATTATACATTATTATAGTCTTTGCTGAACTTAACTTTCTTTCAACAAATAAATGCTTTGTTTAGACTATTGTGCAAAATCAAAGTTATATACACTGTCAGCGCAAACCCCATAATGTTTTCTCTGACACTATTTTGTGCTTCTCATTAAAAAGCTGTGCCGAAATCTGCCCCTCAGCTCAAACATGGGCACTGATGGGGCAGACATTTGTTACTGCTGTAATTTCCTTGTACATCTAATGTTAGTGGGATTTGGGCTGAGCTGAAATGCCTGAAAGCAGTCCTTAAGTCTCTAGTTCTTATTTCATGTCTGTAGCAATTTAAATGTTATTGATCTTACTTGCTATTCAGTAAGTAATGTGATTTTTTTTTTATTTATAAAAAGTGAAAAGTCAAAAACACTGCTTATAAAGTTGGTGCAAACTCCTTGTGTGAATGAGTGAGTGTGCTTAGTCTGTCAGGAAGCCAAATCGCTGTCAATTCAAAAAAAGTAAATTAAAGGTGAACAGAAGCCATTCATTACTGGATATAAAGTAATAAAATCATTACTGTGGTCATTTATTACATAGACTATGGCATGATTAATTGCTATGCATACAGGATGATTTTCAAAGCAGTTGTGTTCCAGTGAAAAGTATGCTATACTATCTCCTATGTCCAAATAACAATTTCAAAAATTTTTTAGTGCAAATGTATACACAAACATAAATCCTTTACAAAGCTACATTATGACTTTCAAATAAAACCATTCCTATTAAAATTTTAGTGTTGTATGAAGTGTATTTTGAGACAAAATGATGTCTTTTATTGAAGAGAGAACCAACTCTTGTAATTTGTCTGATAAAGAAAATCAATTCAGGACAAAAAGAAAAAAATTAGCATGAGATTCAGAACTATTTTATAGCTCCAAGGGATTTAGGCAAAAATTCTATATTATAAAAGTAGTCTTTAAGTTTCTGTTGCTGACTGTGAAGGACAGAGGAAAACAAATTAAGACGTTACCTGATACCAACTACACTGTGTGTGTCCTGAAACAGGTTGAGTTATCCTGATGTCACTTTTTCATGGAGGTGGATTTGAAAGCTTCCTCTTCAGAGCATTGGGGAGAAAAAAAATCATTTTAAAAATGCCAAAAATGCAAAGCCTGAGGACATGCGGAGGTTAAAAAAATAACTTTTAGCCTTAAGATCTAATTAAAGAAGGCATATAATTTTAAATGTTCAATTAGTGTCAAAATGTTTATTGTTCATGTGAAGAATGATTGCTCCGTAGCTCTTTTGACCCTTGATTATAAATACTAGTAAGCATTGCAATGAGGTTCAGCTGTGTATATTTAGAAGATTTTGATTCTTGCGAGCAAGAAAGCAAAAATGTTTGTTTTCTTGTTTTTCTTTTAATATCAGTGCACTGTTACCTGTGGTGGAGGGGTTCAGCATAGGGTTGTGAATTGTGTGAATGAGGAAACCAAGAATGTAGAAAACAACAGCCTATGTGAGAAGACAACCAGACCAGACAGCTTTCAGAAGTGTCATCTCCAGGAGTGTGAAAAAAGCAAGGGTAAGAAATATATTTTTTTTTCCATGTAGGTAGCTTTAGTAAAAGGACTTAGAACTCTAAGTTCTTTGAGAGGTTTGATGAGGCTGAACATAAGCTGAGACAAGATACTGTACAAGTTTAAAAAACTAATATAGCAGACCTGTGATAAATATATTGTGTAATGCTGAGTGAGACCTTGTTCATTTATTGGAAGAATTTTGTAATATGCAAACAGTGTCTTCAGTCCCTGCTTCCAGTTTCAGGAACAGCTTTATCCTTAGGAGGTTGAAATGAACATGGGCCTAACCTGATAAACACCGGATGAAAGATGGGACTGTGACTGTACCGCAGATAGCATAACATGCGTATCTACTTCATGTGAGGCATTTTGCAGGCTATACCGTCCCTGGACATCTGGGTAATTCGTTCAAAATTTTCAAATTTTTCCAGCTGTCTCTAATCTATATTTTCTCAGTCTTTTTATTGCAGTCTTCAGGTGGATAACATGCTAGAAGTGTGTAGATGTAGCTGGGCCACTCAGTGTTCCTCACTGACAATATTTGCAGCTTAGCAGCAAGTCAGGAAAAAGCTACTTCAGTTTTTGCTGTCTTTGTGTAGAGGACACTGTCAAAAGGAAAGAAAAACTCTTTTGTGAATATCTTACAAAAGTGAATAGGGAGAAATGTCTTTAAGGAGTGGTGTCCAGTAGTGGAAGATGTTGCTTATTCTGGTTAAAAATCTCAAAGGCCATTTATTGTCAAGTAGTGTTTTTTGATTGTTTTTTAACCGTTTACTACCAGTGACATATTTAGCCAATGTCCGCCTTGAATTTCCTCCCCCTTAAACATTTGTTATATCTCTGCAGCAGAACATAGCAGGAGCCTGGTTCAGGTCTTAAATTGAAGCTAACCCCCTTGGCTTTGAGTGTGAATAGTCAAATTTCTTATATTTCTTAATGTGTCCACTCAGCGGACAAACATATGAAAAAAACATGTTTTTTTGGTCTTCAGAGGTCAGATTTTTCAACTATATGCATGTCAAAGGCCTGGGAATGATTTGAAAACCTTGTTCTAGGTGACTACTAGCTTGGATAAAGATCTGGGACAAATTGATCAATTAGAAAAAATTCTACATCATGTTTTGAGAAGACTGGACCTGGAATGAAATTAATAAATTAATAAAAAATCATGAAAATATTGAAAAAAAGAATAATGACCATTGCAATTGCTATACAACCCTTTAGACACTGCTAGAGAGCCTTTATCTTCTGTTATGCAATGAAAAAAAACCTCGGAGTTGCCTTCTGGTGTGGAAAAAAAGGAGCACTGATAAGAAACTGATAAAAAACTGATTGATTACCCCCTTCTGAGTCAATGATTGACAGCTAAAAATGCAGCCTGAAGCTTCTAGAGGAAGTCTCACCCCCTAAGGGCTCTGAATGGCTGAAAATACAATGAATGACAGTGTTTTTTACCAATCAAATCACCTTTTTTCTAGCGGTCATTCTTCAAACATTTACTACGTAATCAATGACGTTTACTAGTCTCTAGCTCTTGAGATAAACTAGTCTGGGTTATTTTGTATATATATCATGCTCCAGAATAAGGTAAAAACATGGGAGATATATATATATTTGCTGGTTTTTGCTTTGGCGGTTTTTGGTAAAAATGTATGATATTGACATGCTGTGCTTGCCGGGTTGGCGTGTGTTTTTATTGGGATTCTGCTAGTTCATTAATTTATTGGTTTATTGCATAATAGTGTCAGGTCTGTGGAAACAAACTTTATGGTTTTGTTGTGGTGATATTGGAGAATACGTGCATGTGAGAAAATTTGTGGAGCGGTTTCAAACAAACGTTGTTTATCTCGCGTTTATCTTAAAAATAAAAAAGTGTCATCTGGGGAGACAGGAGTGCCCCTCGGTGACCGCGATCCGGACTAGCAGAGGGTTATGCAATTATGATATCATAATTCACATGCAGAATAGCGGTTGATAAGTAGCAAGGCTGGGCTGCCACAAGACAGGTATATCAAAGGCAAAGATGGACCTTCTTAGCCACCAGTCTGACACCACACATGCTGTGTCTTTTGTGTGTGGTATCGGGAAGAAAGAAAGGCAGGAAATTATAAAATACATACTTTACTTGAAGCTGTTCAGTTCTTGCATTACTGTACAGAATAAAATTGCTAGCGAACAGGCCAAACCAGGTGGTGGAAAATGACAGCGGTTACTGTTGAAGACTTTTAAGGTATGGTACATTTGGTTTACTGCCATTCGTTTGGTATTGCCAG